CCAACCGTGGGCCGTACTTGACGCCCTTGGCCACAATCACCGGGATTCGGATCAGGCTTCCGGTCCCCCTCGTATACAGCCAGCCACAGCTTGGAGATTTGTCCGCCCGGAAGGGCGTCCAGGTCGAGCTTGGTGACAGTCGGAACATTGCCTTGGTCGGCAACGGGAAGGGCTTCGGTTGGCGTCAGAGCCATTTCGGGACCGATTTGCGGAGCTCTTTTTGGCCTTTGCCAGCAGCACCTGATCCAGCTCCGAGTTGGAAAAGAAGCGATAGGCCTTGATGACTGTCCACACATTCGAGACGTTGCCGTGTTCAATGTACTTTTGGAATTTCTGGAGCATCACAGTTTGAAACCGCCATCGGAAAGTAGCCGAGGTTTGTCAGGTCGCGGATCGCCAGCAACGGACGCTGCTTGGCCCGGCTGCGAGCACCATAGGAGTAGCCGCCGGTGCAGGCACCCATCGGCTTATGCAAGGGCTCACCTTGATGATTTTCTTGAATGCGACGATGTTGACCTCGCTGTACTCAAACAGCATCTCCAGGTTGGCAATTAGGTCCTCGATGTCCTTGAGCCTGGCTCGGACACGTGCAGGTATAATCGAGAGCAGAGAGACAGCCCGCAAGCAAGAGTCAGCCCAGTGCAGCAATGCATGGCATACCCCACAGACCCAGTCGTGGCAAGGAAGGCATTCCACCCCAGTGTTTGTTGGCAGCCCGATGGCCCGGGATATTCCCTGTCGGACGAATGCCGGAGTGCATGAGGTCCTATGTGAAGGCGATGCGTACCAAACCTCGCGATTGACTTGTGGACTCTTTCCCTGGATGGATTTGGGTCAAGAACGATTGAGGCATCAAGCAAAGAACATGAGCGCAAGAGCCGGCGGAGTATATGCAGAACAGCACCCATGTGGTCGTTTCTGAGCGTCAACGACCGACACTGGCCGGACGAATCAGCCCAGGCGAGGACACTTACACGGGCAACCAGCTCGGCCAGGCGGGCTCGTCCCTCGGTTTCCTTGATGACATACCATCCTTCGACCTTATCGGCCTCGACCTTCAGGAGTTCCGAGAATGTGTTTGTGAACTCGTCGATAGCGGCCATGTTGGGTGGCGGAGTGGGCTTGCGCTCGGCAGCGGGAACATCGGTATGGGACTCTGCCAATCATTGGAGAGGGGTGAGGCAAGCACGATGCCTACGAACCGGCCTCGAGTCCATGCTGCCGAATGGGCGGCACTTGTCCGGCTGTCGTCTGCAGCGTCAGCCACTCACTTGGATCGGTGCTGTCGCCGACACGGAAGGACTTGAGAGTGCCCTTGAGCGACTTGTAATCGACATAGTGGTCGTACCAGAGCGGCGAGGCTCGGAGCAGCAGCTGTTTCGAGAACTTCATTGCTTGCGTAGATGTGCCGAGTCCCGAGAGCGCGGAGCGACGTTGCGGATGGAGATGCAAGCGAAGCGGAGGCCTGAGCGCCGGGCGGATTGCTGGCATGGCCATCTGCCACCGGCCTGGGGTCAGCCGCGGCTCTGCAATTGGCACATCCTATTCCTGGATGCCGCGCCTGATGCCGCAGCCTGGCGCCGGGAATAGTGTGTGTCTGGCGACAGCCGGCGCATCCGAATGCTATTGTTGGGTCCTGGGCTTGTATTTGGGTCCCGGACGAGCTTGGGCACCTTGACAACGAGGGTAACGACCAATTCTGTCGGAGGACATTTGCGAGGTGGCGGACTTGCCAGTGGGGGTGCTGCCGCGCAGGGCGGCAAAGAGCGCCATCGAAAGAACATTTGCGTAGGGGCCCAACGAGAGAGGCTCTATCCAGCGCATATGGAGATCCTCCTTGGGAGCCGATCCGCCGCATCGGTCTGCCCAGCACCAACACAAATCCCACGTCGTATCCCACGTCGTATCCCACGTCGTATCCCACGTCGTATCCCACACCGCATCCAACACCGCCACCACCAACACCGCCAAGACCCGCATCGGCGGACCAATCAGCAGCGGCGTCTTCGCGCCCTTGCCCTTCCGTGCTCGTTCCGTGTCAGCAAGGCGGCGTGTCACGGCCTGTGGCCCGCCCAAACCGGCGCTTGCGCCCCCGCACTCCCTGATTCCGTCCTCATCCGGCCTCCCTTCCATCCATCCATCCATCCCGCCCCCGCCCCAAGAACCCCTCAACGGGCCATTCTGCGTCATGTCCACCGGCCTGGTCCAGCGTCGAAGAGGAGAGGAGGAGGAGGAGATTCTGGAGATAACCAGGATTTTGACATCCCCTCCGCCTCCGTCCGGAAGCAGAGCTTCGAAACCCCCCCTGCAGCAGGCGCTGACAGGTCCACAACTGCTGCAAGCTATGACGAGGACAATGGCAAAGGCGCCAAGCTCGACAAGAACAAGCTGACGCTTATGGAGGAGGTTCTGCTTCTGGGACTGAAGGACTCTCAAGTGAGTCTGCGGTGCGCTTTCTGGTGGCTCGGTGTTTCGATCAAGACAATGTCCGCTCGATCCACAGCCACGAACGCTTTCTGGCCAAGCCTGTGTTCTTGGCGACAACCCCCAAAGTCTGGATCGATCGTGCTTGATCCTTAAGGGCCGTCGATTTGCTTCTTGCTCATCCTGCTGCTCATGTTTCCGGCTGTTGTTGTCGGAGCCGTGCGTCCTCTGGGCGCCTCTGGGCGCCTCTGATATCCTTGCCTGGGCGCTGGCCGCGGATGTTGCATTCCAAACGGCGCTGACCCCCAGTACCCATTCTGTTGCGCTGGCTCGCCAGGGATATCTGTCGTTCTGGAATGACAACATATCATATGTCTTGCGAGGCGCCATCCTGATGGAGCTCTCCTTCCGAGGTCGCATTGGCACTATAAAGGATATTCGCAAGCGCCCCTTTGTCGAACGCCTCGTCGAGGTCGTGGATGATCGAAGCACTGGCGAGGTCTTGTTGGACGAGGCTGTGAGGATTATGAAGCAAGACAAGCAAAGCGTTGGCAACTGGATCGACTTGATGAGTGGTGCGTACATTGTGCTGATCTACTGTCGCAGCCCGGCGACAACTGCACAGTAGGCCGCACGAAGGACCTGGCGCTGCAGCTCGCGGGTCGTCGTTCGACATATCATCCTCACGACCCATAATCCTCACCGCCTGTGTGCTCGCATCCAGGCGAAACGTGGAATCTCATGAAGATCGGATTTCAGCTCAAGCAGGTTCGCGAACGTATTGCCAAGGGTTTGGTCGACAAAGGTGTCTTGCGAACCGAGAAACGAAACTTTGTTCTCTTCGATATGGCCACACATCCCGTTGCCGACCACAGCGCCAAGGAAATCCTGATCAAGAGAATCGTCGATGCTTTGCTTGGCCGTGGCCCCATCCCGGACAGAAGGACAATCGCCTTGGTTTGCGCCGCCTATGCTGCCAATGTTCTCGAGAACGCCCTGGTTGGATTGAGCCATTCGCAGCGAGAGGTTGCGTACGAAAAGGTCGACGAGATCATCCTGGAGCACGCCTCGCTGACGGACAAAGCCAAGAGCATGGGGACAACAGAGATCATGGCTGGAGTGCTATCAGTGTACCAAAAGATGGACTCGATCTTGTAGTGCCTTTCCCGCACCTGGTTTTGGCTTCCGCGCTCGACCGTCTCTGGCTCTTTCTCTCCATCTCCCTGCCCTAATACGAAGCACCTGCCCGTTTCACAATCTGTACAAAGTGCAATTGAATGAAATCAAATGGAGTGATGCCAAAGCTGGAGGCTGGCTGTCGCTATTGCGTCGCGACCACAGCTTGTTCAGAAGGAAACGAGATAGTGGTGTCCCTGAGCGCCCTTCAGATCAGCTGCCGGATAGGATGATTTCTCGACGCCCAGATAGGTCGGGTCGCACGGGCCGCCCGCTGTGACTTTTTGGTCTGTTGGTGGTGAAACTGCTAGATCCGCCGGTTTACTCTTCTTTGGCAGCCATAGACCGAAGTACCGCTGCGTTCGCTTGCCCCGTTTCGTCGACCAGCCTGGAAAACTCAGAAGCCTTGTTCTGCAGCAGCACTCGCGGCGAGTCGTATTCGACCACGTTGCCAGTATCGAGCACCAGAATCTTGTCATAATCGACGATGGTGTTCAGGCGATGCGCGATCGTGAGTACCGTCGAGCCTCGGAAGTCTTCTCGGAGTGACGATTGAATGAGCTGCGCAAGGTGTATGTCTGTTAACATCGATTGGCTGCAAGCCAAGGATCTCGAAATTCTCAGGCTTGCGGCAGGGGCTTGGTACATCCATCCTCGCACATCTTCGCCGACAGGGGCCATTGTCGATGCAATACGCACGATATACTGGTCCTTTACAGCTGCGCGAATGGCTTACCTTGTCGGTTTCAAAGTCCACATTGGCAGTGCACTCATCCAGAATAATCACCCGAGGCCGGCGCAGCATTGCTCGAGCAAGGCACATCAATTGACGCTGTCCGACGCTGAGGTTCTCGCCCAGACTGGCCACTGTGGCGTCAAGTTTGCCGTCCATGGCCGTAACGGCAGCTTTCAGGCCGGAACGAGCCAAGACATCCCATAGGTCGCTGTCGCTGTGCTCCGAGAACGGGTCGAGATTCGTCCGGATTGACCCTGAGAACAGAATGGGGTCCTGGGGTATGATTGTGATCCGGGATCGAAGATCGCGCAGCGATAGCTGGCAAATATCGATGCCATCGATCAAGATGCGTCCTCCACACGGATTCACCATCCGGAAGAGCACAAACATGAGCGACGACTTGCCCGATCCGGTTCTTCCAACCTGGGGGAATATGCGATGCAGTACCCGGTGATCAGTACTCTTCAGACAAACCAATGGAGTTGCCATGGCTGCACATCCAGCTGAGCCTCTGGAGCAACCAACGCAAGCATTGCATTCGCTGGCAATACAATTTCGTTGGGACAGGTTGATCTCACGGCAATCTGAGGACGTCATCCAAAGCGTTGTGCATTACATACCACCCCAATCTTGGCCCTGGGCAGAATGTCGATGCTGACGGCATTGAGAACAAGAGGCATATCGGGCTGATATCTCATCTCGACGCCTTCGAAAGTGATCGAGCCGTTGCTTGGCCAGTTGTCTGGTGGATGCACTGTGGCAGCATCATCTTCGATAACGAGTTGTGAGGAATAGTATTCAAGGCGCTCGACTGCATTGAGCTGCATCTCGAGATCGGTGAATGTTCGCATGCACTGGTTGAGCTGCATGTTGACTTGCAGGCAGTACGAAAGCATGAGACCAATGACGGCTGAAGAAATGGTTGTCTAAGAGACGGCGACAAAACATTAGTGATAGTGCCGATGGCGATGTCAAGAACGATAGATGGGGGAGGTACAGAGAGCGAAGGAGGTACGAGGCAGGAGGAAGACGATGCCCACCGCGCCAACACCGCCAAAGCCACCAACACCACCTACTCGGAATATAACGGCATAGATAGACACGACAAGGATCAGGATCGATCCAATCAGATCGAGGCGGATCGACATCCATCGTTGGCCATGGAAGATCAGAAATTGCGGTTCGTTGTTGCTGTCGATAAGCGTGTGAGCCTTGGCTTGGAAACGGTCTTGCTGGTTGTAGGCCCGGATGGTGGTCATCCCCGAGAGCGTCATGGTAAAGTGGGCAAAGAGCGGGGCTCTTGGAAATGCTCTCCATGCGTTTGAGCTGAATCGAGGACGTTCGGTAGAGCTTCTGGATGTAGTAATATAGGCCAGCCATAGGTTGCCATCACCAGAATCAGCCAGCCCTGGGTCGAGACGCCAATTGTGATCAAGGTTGACAGGAGAGTGGCGACAGAGAGGGCGAAGCCGCTCGATACCTTGATCAAGGAGTTGTCCACAATATCTTGGTCGCGCGAAAGTCGGTTGACGATGCGACCCAACGGCGTGGTGTCGAAAAACGAAATCGGAGACTTCAAAACCCGGGTAAGGGCCCATTCGTGCATGGTTCGGGCAGCACGGACGCCACCCATGACGCAGAGATAGTAGTACACCAACGTGACGGCCGAGGCCGTTAGCCCCAGGGCGACATATATCCCAATGTAGCCATTTTGGGAGAGCGAGGGAAGCAGCATCGACGACCAAATCACAAGCCAGTAGTCGGTCGAGACGCGAAGGCCTTGAGTGAATATCAGCGTGACAATGATGGCGCCAAAGAAGTAAGGATGGCCCATTGCTGAAAAGTACTTTTTGAGGACAATGCGGCCGATGCCTCCAGTCATGCGTTCCTCCTCTTGGATCAGCTTCCGGCCGGATTTTTCCTCAGGCTCGTCGGTACGGTCGTCGATCTCAAGTTCTTTTCCTTCCTGCTTCTTGGACTCGGTTTGCTCCGATGGTGTTTCATGAACGCCGCCGTACTCCTTCATCAAGCCGGCCAGGACGCTGCTTTGGGACATGAGCTCTTGGAACGACCCTTGTTCGGCGATACGCCCTTGCTGCATGATGATGATGTAATCGCACTGCGGCAGACAATGGAGCTGATGTGTGACGAGCACCCGGGTCTTGCCGCCGAGCGCCTTAAGAATGAGGTTGTCGAAGATGTGTCGGCCGACGTGGGCGTCGACGGCTGAGAGCGGGTCGTCAAGCAAAACAATGTCGGCGTCGCTGTTAAGCTAGTCGGGCAAGCGAGATCCGCTGCTTTTGTCCTCCGCTCAGATTGATGCCCTTTTCACCCACTTCGGTTTGATCGCCGCCGGGCAGGATCTCAAAGTCCCGCGTGAGTGCACAGGCTTGGACGCAGCGGGCATACTTTTCCCGGTCCATCTGCTTGCCAAACAGAATGTTTTCCTCAATGGTTGCGTTCATAATCCAGGCTTGCTGTGGACAGAGTCCGACGGATCCCGAGAACGTGACCGAGCCGCTGCGATATTGCATATCTCCAACCAAAGCACTGAGCAGGGAGGATTTGCCTGACCCAACCGGTCCAACAACGGCACACAGCGAGCCGCGCTTCAGCTGGATATTGACCGAAGACAGTCGCCCCTGGGTCTCAGGGGCCGCAATGACATCGGATTCAGAGTCTGCGTGCTCTCCAGCCATCTCGGGCTCGTGATCCTTTCGATCAAAAGTTTCGCTTTCCAAGGCTTTGGCGGGGACGGCTTGCTTCTTCGGGAAGGCAAAGCGAAGCCGGGACTTGTTGGCGGGCAGTGGAGTCGCCGGCTCAGCGTAAGGTGGGCACCAGACAAATTCACCGCGGTCGATGGAGACCGAAGGCTCCATGGCTTTGTCTACAGTGGGCTCGAAATCGATTTCGGGAGCCTCGAGGAACTCTTGAAGTCGATCGATGGCGACTTTGGCATCAGCAAAGGACCTGGATCATAGACATACATGTAAGCATGCGTTTGAGGGGCAAAGTGGACACGACACAGTTGGCCAGGTGAAAGTTGCATCTGATTGCCGCTCAAACGACTGGGATGGTTGGCTTGTGATTCAGGTACATACGAAAAGATCATTGGGAAGATGAAGGCGGGAATGCGCAGAGCATTGAAGAGCGACAAGGCCGAGAAGATCTGCAAAGCATGTCAATGTCTCGTGAGCAGCGTGCCGAATCCATTTTGGTGCTCGGCAAGTTTGCATGCTGAGGCAGCGGTGGTGTACAAAACGTGATGGGCGGATGCAGATTCAAAGCGATAGCCCATTTGGCTCCGCACACCCCCCTATAACTGACCGTCGAAGCGTTGAAGGAATCGGTGGTCAGGGAATACACAACGAATGTGACGATACTTGCAGTGACTGGAACGACAAAGCCAATGGTGCTATTGACCCCTTCGATCATGCTGAGGCACACGATGGGGGGGGGAAGACAGAGCCAAGTAAGTATAGCGCGCAGTGGCAGCGTTGCTGTGGGATAGTAGCAGCGAACTGAGCTCTGCTGATGTGACCCCAGAGAACATAGCACTCGAGAGTAAGGCGAAAGCGACCAAAAACATCCAGAGCACAGACCGAATATCGCACATGCTCGACGCAAATACACCGCGTGCAGCGGCACCGTACATACTTGACCGATGCCACCTTTTTCAGCTCGGCGGAACGCTGCGAAAAGATTCGCTCAAGGAAAGTGGGCTCCCAGTGGAAGAATTTGACAACGCGAATGCCTTGTAGAATCTCTTGGGTGAGCTTGACTCGTTTATCGGTTATTTCAACCAGATCCTTGCGATACCTCATCCGAAGGGTGGTGATGAAGGCCTGGATCGGACCCAACAGGAAAATAATGACGACACCGGCTAGAGCCGATGGGCTGGATAGCGGAAAAAAAAAGGAGAGCAAGAGATATTGGAACTGCAATGTTAGCTGGCTACTCAGTCGCGGAGCTTGAGATACGGGCGGGCCGGAGCAGTTCGAGTGGCAAAGTTAAGGAGAGGAATATGAAAACCACTTTGTGCTTGACAGCGTACCCGAGAAGAGCGAGCAGGATGCCGATGTTGGTCAGGATATTAACGGGCATGCACCAGAGATCATGGAACCAGCTGAAGAAGAGCTCGACACGGGCCACATCGGTGGCCAAGATTGTTGCAATTTTGCCAGAGTCGTATTTCTGTTGGTGGCGAGTCGATATGTCGAGGGCAAAGGCAGGAACGGGTCAGGTGTGATGAAGCAGGGGGCTGTCGAGTCGTCGAAATCCCGCAGGAGCAATCCAGGTCGACATCGCGATATCTACCTGACGAGCCTCCGGAGAGAGACGCATACTCTTGTGGAAGACGGCGCTGGAGAGCACGGAGCGGGCGGCCATACCCGTGACGGTGATTTGTGCAAAGTACCAGTTGAGGGTCAGGCTCGTCAAGATAGGAACAAGAAACATCCCAAAAGCAAGAAGCACGCCAGTCCCGGCTGGGGGAGGACTGCCTGTTTGGCTCGAGACCACAAAGTTGACCAGGGCCTGGAGAACCAAGGGGCTGTGAACAGAGAAGGCATGGGCGACAGGAGCGGCCGGGAGTTAAGCCAACGCATCGGCACGGGGTACTCCTGAGAAGCGAGTGCTTGAGACAGCGATGACAACATCGGCCATTGCTCACGAGGGAAAGGGAGGCAGATGCGGGCGAGGAACTAAGGTGGCAACGCAGACCTGATCAGGATTGAGTTGTCGCAAATCCAACAGAGAATGCCCACAGGATAGAGCCGGCGACCAAACAGCTTGTGCAGCGTCCAGACGACGCTCGGCGGCTTGATCTTTGTTGGCTTGACCCATGGAAAAGTCTTGAATGGGAAAGGGCGCTGCTGGTCGTATGCATTTTGCTGCTCACTCCATATACGCTCAAACTTGGCATAAAGCTGAGGGCCAATACAGGTCGTTGAAGGGGTGGAGGTGGCGGAGGGGCACGGTTGGTGATGAGGCTTGGGAGAATAATCGAACAAAGCGCCAAGCAGGGCAGAGTGGCGGCCAAAGGCGAGGGGGAAGGAAGGAGGCAAAGACGAACCCACCTCGGCAGAGCGGATATCCTTGGGGAGCAGATGCAGATCGTCGAAGGACAGAGGGCGCTTCTTGCCAGTCATGAAGACGCCGTCCATCCAAAACCATAGCAGCTTGGAGAGCAGATTGGCCTGCTCCCACTTGGAGGGCTGCTTAGCACGGAGTTGAGCCATTGGAAGGGTCCAGGAACAGCGCTTTGGAATAGATGAGGCTGCAGACCGCGAAGGAGGACGTTGGTACGGCTTGGGCGGGGAGCGGACAGCAGGCAGCGAAAGGTTTTATACCTGCCCAACCGACCCATGATCCAAGGGAGCAACGCTACAGGGCGACAAGCAAATCGGGCTGGGTCGCGCGGGTTGCGCAAGATCCACGACGGAGCAGGCAGTGCAGACACGAGCACTGCTTCCGTGGACATGGGGGACGGCAGCCACATGCCAGATCGATGGTCATGGACACGCCCATGACAAACACGGCCACGGCGCCACCACATGGATGCTGCCGTGGGCCAGCTGGATCGAATGGGTCGGCTAGGTGGATCGAATGGGCTCGTCGAATCACGTGCGTGGCGCCTGTTGTGGAACGGCCATGCCGCTCAGCCACGCTCAGCCATCGATCTGGGAACAATCCTGCACCGATCTCACATCATGCCCAGCCCCGATGGTGACCTAGCGGAAATGCCCTTCTCGGACTCGGCTGATCTGCCGGCGCAGATCCCGAATCTCGAAAACCCAATACCGTACACCTTAGGTACGCACCAACTCGCACTGGCCTGTCGGCGCTTCATTTACACCGCCCGCAACCACAGCTGCAACCCATCGCCGGTCGCAATCGTAGCTGTGCAGTCGCACGCTTGTTCTGGTGCTGATCATGTCTCTTTGGCTCCAGTCAACAGCCGTCCGCTCGACAACACCCAATTTATTGCGCCGTACGTGCCTTGCTCGCTGCAGGTTGTGCAGGCTGTCCTGAGATTCGCAAACATCCAGAGTAGCGATGTCCTTGTCGATCTGGGTAAGCCTTATTGTCTTGCAGTTGGCGGATCCGCTTCTCTGTTCTTGGATCTGAATCGAGCTCGCTCAACGCCTCGCTCTTCCGCCTCGTTCAGGATGCGGAGATGGGCGAATCCTCTTTGCCGCCCACGAGTCCGATCGGCCGCCGGCATTCAGTGTCGGAATTGAACTCGATCCCTATCTCGTCAAGCACGCCAAAGAGAAGGCGCTGCAGCTCGAGCGCCAAGAACGCATCGCTTTCATCGAGCAGGATATGTTCACCGTCAACCTGGATCAGCTCGAGCTCGACAGTGGTCAATGCACTGCTACCGTCCTGATTCTCTACCTCCTCCCAACGGGTCTCGACAAGCTCAAGCCGCAACTCCATCGATGGCTTAACGGAGGGCCCCTGCCAACCTCTGGCGATGCGGACTGCCATTTGAGCAGCACTCCTCCAAAGCTGACTCGATCGTGGTCGGAATCGTCGTGGTTGCTGTTCTCCAAGCTCTGCCGCTCGGTATCACTGGCCCTCCGATCCAATGAAGTTCGAGAATCCAGTTGCTCCCCGAACCGCCGAATTATCACCATCACTTACTCTATTCCAGGCTGGGAGCCCAGCGAAGCTGTCGAAGCCAAGGCAGCCGCCACTAATACTGCCGGAGGTACCCACGGCTGGAACGTCAACCACTGGTTGTTTCGCTATGACAAGACCAGCGTGGCCTCGACTCAATGACCGAATGTCTCGCGCACAACCAACCGTCACCCGAGACTGTTGGTCACGCATCCGGCGAAAGGCTTGATGCCTAGAGATGGAGGCTTATTTATGTATCTTGATTTTCAGTCGAATTCGCTGCAATCATAAATTCTTTGGCCGAGGCCACGATTATGCTGGTTGAGGCCGGTGAACCAACAATCCGGCGTGATTGACGGCCGCAAGCCCTGAGTACCGATCCCGGCAACCGGGGGTCTATCAAAGTCCAGTGATGGGGGAATGTGGCCGAACGGGGAGAGCGGAGCACCTCATCGGGCTTGGAAGAGCATCGCATGCACTTTGGTGGTGATTCCCCTGAGCAGGCGGACTCATGACGAGTGCGACTGAAACCAGGACGAGCTCAGGGTGACATGCTCATCACGTGATTTCAGACCGAGGAGCGAGAGCGCGGCGAGAGCGCCGTCTTCTCGTCTCCTGCATTTCGCCACCCAAGCCCAAGCCCAAACGCAGCCGGTGCTGGCCTGGCTTGATCTCCCAGCCGGCTCCACAGCACTCGACCCCGGCTCTCGGCCTCAACGGTACACCATGAGTGGAAGCACCACTAGTCTGCTGCGGCGGCACTCGATGTACGGCACAGAAGATCGAATCGTGCTGGATCTGGGCTCTCGATATCTCAAGTGCGGCTTCTCGGGAGAATCCAAGCCGAGACATGTTCTGCCTGTTGCCATTCCAGTCTTCTCTCAAGACGGCTCTCGGTCGGGAAAGAAGGTGGGAGTGGACAATGAAGCTACAGCTGGCTAACGAAAGATAGGGGGCGGGGTTGACCTTGACGCCAACCCGTTGAGCAAACCTGACAGACGCTCGTTTTGGCGGTAATACTTGCCGACCCGGGCCCGTTCGCCACTCGGGCGACATATTCACATAACCATCTCGTTGTAGATGGTGACGCTGTTTCAGCTCGAGAGCGACCCCGCAGTGCTCGAGTCCATTCGAAATGTCCTCTCGGACCTCTTTTACCAAACGTTTCATCAGTAAGCGAGCTGTGATTTGAAGCGACGAGGTGGCGCGGTGCTTGGGAATGATGGATAACAATCGCCATCATCCATTATCTCTTGAAATGAAATCGTTGGTTACCATGTCCCTCTTACATTATTACGTCGGCTCAAACACGGCTTTAGATACCTGCTGACAGATCCCAAGCAAAGGAGTGTCATCATTTGCGAAAACTTGTTGATGCCTATTGCGATTAAGAAATTGATCTGTGACGTGCTCTTCAACGAACTGGAGGTATCTTTATACGCAGTGCCTGCACTAGCTGATGCATGGTGACATGGGGTATCGTTGGAAATGATTTGGAGGAGATGTACAAAAGTCGATATCTGTGCACCGCCACTGGTTAGGGCGCCTGGCAGCCAGAAATGTACTAACTCGCTGCCGGTGTGGTTTGGCTTCAGGTTCCATCAATATCATTTGTGCCGTCACACGTTCTTGCGCTCTTGGCTTGCGGAAAAACAACAGGACTGGTGGTGGATATTGGTCACCTGGAGCTTTCGGTACTCCCGGTATGGTGACATGGGTTTCTATGAATCCATCAAGTGTCGATTGCTGAAGGCTCCTATCGCAATCCTTTCATACAGCGATAGCCTCTGCCGCCTGTCACCAACCATGGACTCGTCGCTATTGTGTCGGCCACTGCGACAACCTCAAACCATCCATGCTCACGAGAACGTTCTTGCTCTTCCCGGCCATATAGATATACGATGGACGGCCACTGTTCCGGCAAATGAAAACACTTCCAATTGCAGGCCACTCGGTCACAACAAGACTGAAACTACTACTCAAGAACCATGGCAAGGTGCTGCAAGATGGGGTGGACATGGTCCCAATCGAGGACAGCTTCGTAGAGAAACTGAGCAACGAGTTTTACGAGAATTTGAAGGCGCAGGTCTGCTTTGTGGGAGCCTTTCCCACATTTGAGGACGTGTCTTTTGAGAACCGCGAGGCAGCATTTCCATATCGCGAGAAGCTCTACGAGTACACCGTCTACAAGAGCGAAACGCGGCCCGTCCATGTCACCGTTGACTCGAACGACAAGCTCTGGGTGCCCGGCTGGGTGCGTGAGCGTAGCGCCGAAGTACTATTTGAAGGTGACGACGACGGTGTGTCAGTTGCCAACGTGATTCTGGAGGCCATCATACAGGTACGAGAGGATTTTGGCAACATTCTGGGTGTGTAGGAATCGATTCGACTTCCTAGTTTGGGCACCACCATGAAGAGACTAGAGCAGTTAGTGCCAAAAGCGTGGTGGAGCAGTCGCATCCATGACTACCCACACGATCAAGGGCACAGACTAATGCGTATGCATAACTACCAGTGTCCCCGGGACATTCGCATGGACCTCTATCGCAATGTGCTCTTGATTGGAGGAACCTCGATGTTGCCAGGGTTCCATCAACGATTGCAGGAGCACATCTACCGCCTACTGGAGGAAAGCCCACGTTACAATTGGAATCGCAGATCACAGGCCAACTGGTCCATCATCAAAACGATTTTCAAGGCCAACTGCCTGGCCTGGACAGGTGGATCGCTGATGGGCGTGATGAAATGGACAGGCCGAGGAGAGCTAAAGCGGGAGAACTATGAAAGAAATGGCGAGATCCCCGATTGGAGCTGTCTTTCAACCGAAGAATAGCACGAGAGGCTTTGAAACGACATGTTGGTTGGCGACAAGGTGGGCGTATTGAATTTAGGATTTCAAGATCACACTCTGATTGTTTGCAAAGTATGGTTGGCATTTGGGGTTGGCTGTTGCCACAACGAAAGGGGGGGACAAACGAGGAAGCGAGAGCGGGAAACTGGCGGGAAACGGGACAGACAAGCGACTGGAAGGCGACGGTGAGCACGGGCGGACTGGAAGGCGAGTTGACCAGAATGCTCCACTTGCTGCGCCCTGCCAAACATGAGGGCATCACCATTGATATATCGTGGGAACTAAGTTAATCATGGTGGGCCGGCGGGTGAACTTGCTCGCTCGCGTGCGCGCCCCGACCATCGCAACATGTGGCAATTGGGCCGAGTCGTCACATCATCCTAACCATAAACTACTTTCGAGACCGGGAGAGAGACTTGGGCCTGTCCGGGTATCGCTGATGGAACTGTTGCACCATGTGCGGGGCTCTCTTCAGATTTTCGAGAGATTCCCAGGCGGACTTCAATATTGGGTACGCCTTCCAGGTAACCAAGTACAGGATCACACACGGGACTTTTGCGAGGATAAATTCCTTCGACTTTATGCTCGATGTGTCTTTCAGCTTTGGTTGAGGAAGGGGGTGGAGGGATACGATGAGGGATGCGTGAGGTCACGCGATGTCGAGCAGCAAACATGAAATACCTAAAAGATCCGATAGTGGGGTGTGGGCTCAAACTCACAAGCAACTTTATGGACCATTCTCTTGACCATTTATGAAACGAATGGGTTCGGAGTCCAGCTTGTCATGGGGGGAGTGGCCTTGATATTGAGGCGGCGCAAACTGTCACGGACGAGCAATGACTTGGGTGGGTAGGACGGCAGGCGAGCAGGGACCGAAGACGGATACAGGCCGAGGGTTTTGAACACTCAGGATGGAAGCGAGGCGGAGGCAGAGTGAGAGAAGTTGCTCGTTAATTGAGAGATGCGACAGATAGTCAAAGCGGGAGAATACAGATGATACGATATGTTGGGCCTCTCGAGCGACAGGGCTGACAACTTAATCAAGTCAGGACAAGAGAGAATCGGTGAATGGAACCAGATCGAAGTTCCGACCCTGCATCTTCCTATCCGCTTGTAAAGGTGATGTGACGTACACGCCAATTGGTGACAAAGCAAAACTTGAGCACCTGGAAGTACTCATGCGCCTCCGCTGGTTGCAGGTCCGCGAAGTGCTCGCAATGCTCATTAGAGTCAAGGAGGTACTCTGTCAAAGATTCACTGATGCGACCAATCAAAATGGCGTCATATACGGCAGCCGGATCGATGGAACCGCCAAACCGGTACATTCGACTGTCGCATCACAGAATCGAGATAGAATCAAAAAAAGAAGAACACGAAGGAACTTTATTGATTTTAACAAGGCGAGGATCGACAGTCAAGTGTGTCTGGGGTCCAAGGCGACATTCAGAATAATGAGCGGGCAAAGACTGGCAATCGATGTGCCTGGAGGATCCGCGGCGATGTCTTACTGAGCGCGGGCGCGAGGGCAGAATTGCGGCTAAGTGGAGAAACCTTGTGGAAGTCAGAAATACACTCGATCGCTGACAAATGCGGGCAACACTGACAACAGACAAATTCAGTATCACTGACAAATGCTGAGAACATAGGGGGCGTGTGCAACATGAAAGAAAGGAAGGGAGAATGGCATCGCAGAACCACCAAGAAAATGTGCACCGCGAAGAGTGACACAAGTGTAGCGGTTCTGCTAATTGCGCAGAGGGGTCTGTCACAGTCCCTATAAAGCTCACCCCGGCACCAACACGCTCTACAAGGCCATCTCGACACACTACTACTGGCCCGCCATGTCCAAGGACATTGCCGAGTGGGTCTCGCACTGCGACATCTGCCAGCGAGCCAAGATCCGACGACAACAAGCGTACGGCCACTTCTCCCGGATCCCTGTGGCCACCCGCAAGATGGACACTGTCGCCCTCGACTTCATCCTCGGACTCCCGCCTGTCACGGACTCACGCTCGGGCCGCACCTTCAACTCGATCACGGTCTTTGTCGACTCCCTCACCAAGTACGTCGTCCTGGTTCCTGGCAACAAGACCGACTCGGCCGAAGACGTCGCCCGCCAGTACTTCCGCGATGTCTTTGTGCACTTAGGACTCGCCGGCACTTTCATCTCGGATCACGACACACGCTCCCGATCGGCCTTCTGTACGAAACTCAAAGTGTGACGGTCCGACAGTGCCGTCACATTAGGCCTGCGTAGACGCAAGTAACAGCTCGCTCACAATGGTGATTCTCTCTCCCTCTCAGTCGTCTGTCTTGTCGAACGCTCGTTACATTCTCATCGTCTCATAGTCTCATTATCCCATAGTCTCATTATCCCATTATCCCATTATCCCATTGTCCCATCGTCCCGGTTCCCCGCTTGTTCCATCAGACTGCTCTTCCCCTTCATGCTGACCCGATTGTG